CAGCTAGTTGAATAAAACAGGAAATTGACACTTAAAGGCCTATACGCTGGTCCTTGAGACAACTTGGCACTTTCCTATGCCTTTACTCTGCCCAATAAAGACTCTCTCTAGGGGTGGTGTAATTTAAGTCACACAGAACAGTAGCAAGGGAGGTGCAAGCAGTGGATACACTGAGGTATAGGAAGGAAGCATTCCAATGTATTTATATTTATTTTTATCTTTTACATTTTTATTTTCTACTTTTATATATGTTTAATAATAGCACTACATACATATACAGTTGACCCTTGAACAACATGGGTTTGAACTGTGTGGGTCCACCTATACATGTTTTTTTTCAATAGATACTATAGATATGTTTTCTCTCTCTTATGATTTTCTTAATAACATTTTCTTTTCTGTAGCTTACTTTGTTATAAGAATACTGTATAGAATACATACACATAACATAAAAAATAAGTGTTAAGAGACTGTTCATGTTATTGGTAAGGCTTCCAGTTAATGGCAGGCTATTAGCGGGGTGCGAGGGGGCGGGTGGTGCAGTGGTCAGCACCCTAATCCTTAAGTTGTTCAAGGGTCAACTGTATATAGTTTATAAAAATATAAATATACACATTATGGAGGTGTGTGCTCAAATATATTTTTAATAGGAATGTGTAATAAAACGCTTGGGAGACAAGAAGACACCCCTGTGCTTGAGGTGTTTCTATGTATGGTATGGTCCTGATCCCCACCCTAACCCCCTCAAAATCCCCTGTGGAAGTTGTTAAACACATAGATTCCTTGACCCACCTCCATCTAGAGGATCTGAATCTCTGGAGTGGGATGCCTTAAAGGGCTCCCCAGTCTGATGTTACTGGAGTTTTCGAACCACTGCAATAGAAGAATTAGAGAAGCAGGCACAAACAAGATGGGCTATGGAAGGGGTAGTCAGTGCTGATGGGAACATCAGAAGCCTCCTTAACTGGCAGCTATAAGCAGACACTCCTGGGTCCTGACCAAGGACAAGCCACCTTCCTTGTTCTTCTGGAACTCTGGCTCTAAAGGTATTAAGACAATGCCTGTAACTTCCCTAACTAGCTCTCATTTAAATCCTCATCACCTAAGGAAACCTGGGCACTTCCCCTCCTGATGTTTAAGGATCAGAGGTGTCGAATCTTAAAAATCGACAGTCCCTCACATAGAGAGAGCATGTAATCCACCTGAACTGAAAAGATAGCTGACATAATTTCACTAATCATGTAATTTAGGAGTGAGAATGAGGTAGGAAGAAGGGAGCATAGTGGCCAGAGTTTTCTGTAAGCATTTAAAAAAGGTCCTGTGCTGAAAGAACATTTAATATGAAATCACATAGGTGATTTCTTAAAAGCATACCAAGTAAAAAAGAAGGATGTGGAGCAGAAGCTACCACTGTCTGTGTGACCATGGCCAAATCACTTATTCTCTCTGCTCCTCATCTATTAAACAAAAGGTTACACTTTAAATGATCTAAGGTATTTTCTATATTTCTATAACCCAAGTTTGGACTCAACTCTTAGTTCAGGGTTCCTTTTACTATACCATGCTGATCAAGAATAAATTAAAATTCTGGCCCTTTAAACTAAAAAAATCAGAAAAGGCTCCTATACCCTTAAGAATTACCTATTAAGTGGATCTTCATAAAGAGAAAATCTCTGCTTTTGGCAGCCCTATCCCCACCCCAATAGCGACTTCATTTATAGGTCCTTGGCATATCCAATAGCCACCTGTTTCCCAAACCTGAATGAAAATCCAGAGTGAGAATGACTGATCTTTACCCTTTGCAATGAGACTGCATTATCACTGGGATGTAAATATTCTAGCTAAACAAAGTGTCATTTTATTTTGATTTATTGCTGCCTCACTTTTCTTTCAGGGTCACCCTCTTATTTCTTTTTTCTCCTATCAAAAGGAGGTTGAGAGGTTACCAGGCATTCAATGAAACCTGGTAATTGTCACCACCACTGGGGACAGAGACATCACCTGACATAATACCCACTATGATTCAACAGACTTGAATGGAGTGACACAGTATAATGCACTCCAATATAATGTAACTAATGCCAAAACAGAGAAGTGAAAACTGTTTCCTGAAATCTGCTACAGATACATGAAAAATTCCAAGGAGATCAAAAGTGAAATATCCCTGCAATAGGCCACATTTTTATTTCATAAAGATGGAAGGTGCCACAGCAGAATATTCATCTTTGGCAAGACTGAATAAAATGTCATCTGAGTCACCAGTTTAAACGGATTTCACTTTAAAAATATAAACTTGATCCTATGAGTTATATTACAGATTGAGCTTTCTTTACAGTTGTCCTGGGACCTAACCTACTCAAAACTTTTAAAAAGCATTTCTAACATTTTTACTCCATTGCCTAAAATAACTGTTAATGATGGATTAGGAGAGTATTATAAAAGTTATCTTCTGCACATGTGTAGGTAAAAGATCAGACCCAGTTTGGTTACGAGGCAGCAGAACCTTGTGGTTAGCACTACAAGTTCTGGAGTCATACAGTCTGGCTTCAAATTCTGGCTTTACCATTTTATTATGTGACCTATATAACAGCTCTAAGCCTCAGTTTCTACATCTGCAAAATGGGAATACCAATAGTATTTACTTAAGACTATTGTTGGGAGCATTCTATTAGCTAATGAGTTTAAGACAGTATGTAGCACTTAAGTAAACACTTAACGATTAGTGATTACTATCTAATGACAATTCCTATTAATTGCTGGAAGTTACTTAAATACTAAAACTAGTTTCCTATCTTCAAATATGCTAAAATATCATGCCAGTTAGAATATAATTTAAAATATAGTATGCACAGGTATTAGACAGCCACCTGTTCTGTCTGGTAAACATTTACCCACATGCAAATCATGTACCAGCAGCTCCTTTCCCTCTCCAGTGTGACACTGAGATGACAACAGAGAAATGAAATACAGTGCTGTGCTCTATGGTTAAGAATCATACCACCTGGTTGTGGATCTAACCACCCATTCTTATTCATTCGCACCCTATTTCTTTTTAGACGCAGGCTCATTTTTTCAAGCCTTCAGGCTGTAGGCCAGATTAATTTGCAAAGCAGTCCAGAAGCCTGCCTTTCAAACTGGCTAACACAATACAGCCCCCATTCTCAGGCGTCTGCTTTCAGTATTTAGAGCTACCACATCCCCCCCTTGTGGTCATGGCGAGAATTTGCCAGGCTCTTGGGGAAACCACCAGTAACGCGTACCCACAGAAGTAAGGTGTCAGGCACCCTTTAGCTAACACTATATGATTCCTGGATTCTTTTGATGAATACTTTGTAGCTTTTAAATGTATGCAACAAGAAGAAGAAGGAAAAAAAGGCAAACTCTTAAGAAAACCATTAGAGAGAAGGAAGCATTCGAGATAAGAATGTATTTACTCCAAATACTACACTTGCCCTCCTCCCTCCCTGTCATATACAACATAAGGATGTAAAATTTTCATTTCTATTTTGCTTCAATGTTTAATATTATTTCTTTGTCATTCCTATGTTCTTTTGCATCAATATATTGTTTTAGAATATTAATCTCTACAAACAGGGGTCATTGGCCTGTAACTGTGATCTCAGCAAATTTACCTCTGAGGGAATTTAAAAAAACATAAACGAATGTTAAATAGACTAGAGAGGATAACATAATAAGAGCTAGCACTTAAAGCCGGGGGGAGGGGGGAGCGCTTTTTTTTTTTTAAAGAATCTGTATAATCTGTAATCAATTTTTTTTTATTTCTTAGTCACTTCCATCCCCCTCACAATGTAAACTCCTCAGTTTTCTTTTCTTCCCCAACTTTCCTTCACAATTCCTCATCCAGTTATCACTTAACTGTGGAATATCTTTCTTTCTTGAAAGGGGACGTTAAAAGTTTGAAGGACAACTTGCTTCATTTGCAAAATCAACCTCAATCTGTGATCAGTGAATTCACGTTTTGTTTTCACTGTAGTCTCACTACATGGAACAGTGTCTGGTACATGGTGGACACTTCAGTACATACTTGTTGAATCAGTTGTTTGTTTTTTCCATTAAACATCTGAAACTGGTCACAGCGCTGTCGCCACTGCCATCTTGTTACAGAACCCACAGTGCCTGTCCGTAGCAACCAGCACAAATTTTGAGATGGGCCTGAGGGGCCTCAGAGAGGTCCAGCAAAGTCACGCGGGAAAAAATCTGAGCCAAAAGTATTTTTCCTCTTGAAGGTTTGCACAGTAATTATCCTAATGCAACCCAATGCACTGTGTGAACCAAAGGCTGCTATAGTAGTTCGAAACCCGAGAACCCTGCGGTAAAGCAGAATGAACGTCTACGGTCTTCCAAGTTATTGCTACACCAACAAGGCGCCAGAAAACGAATGAAGGACTTAGAAGGAGCAACAAAAGCCCTGAGCTAATGTTTACAACATAATAACAAAGACCCAGGACAAGATGGCGCCCTCCACGAGGAGGGGGGGAGGAGGGAAAACGTCCACGCGCCAGGAGTGCGCCCGCTCCCGGACTCGTCCCCGGCTACGTTCGGCCCGAACTCACATGCCCTCGGGCACCTAGTGCGTGCTTAATTAGACTCCACCCCCGTTTTCCGCCACTCCCAGAGGACAAGCGCTTCAGGCACACAGCATAATGGCAGCTGCGCAGGCGCAAGAGGCCTCGCCTGTCACGCAACTGACGCAAGGAGACAGTAATCGCTACGCAGTTTATCCCGTGTGACCTTGAGGTTTTGCGGCCTCGGAAGTCCGGGGCTGTCCAAGGTATTGCCTTTATATCTCTCTTAGCCTCCTCGTCTCTCACTGCGCCCATACATGCTGCAGCCAGAACAGAAAGACAAACTTTTTCAACAGTCGTGGTGCGGAGCGTATTAGCCGTACGCTCTGATTCCGGAAGCAGAGATCAGGTAGTCTTTGGTCAGGCGGCGTAGGCAGCGCCTCAGCGGAAGAGCAGGCTTCCAGGCCCCGGCGACAACCCCCGCCCCCCCGCCCCACGTGGTTGGAGGTTTCCAGAAGCGTTTCCAGCGCCGCGCAGCGCAGCTAAGGCTATTCGAGTGACTGCTGCCTCGTATTCTCACCATCTAACCGCCATGATAAATGCCAGTCGAGCCGCGGCGTCCCGTCTCATCGGGGCTGCAGCCACGCGGGGCCCCACGGTCGCCCGCCACCAGGTAAGAAACTGCCGGGCCTTCCCCCAGGGGCTCACTGCTCATGGTCTTGGACCTTCGAGCGGCAGGCCTCGCGCCCTTCGGGGTCAGAATCTCCTGGGAAAATCAGATGGGAAAGAAGATAATGGGGATTCTGTAATGAGCGCTACGCGTTCAAGACCTAATTCAGGGTTTTGCCTCCGTGCTTTGGGCCTTGCTGAGTCACACCCCTTGCCAGCCTGTAGTCTTATTTCACGAAATGGTAGGTAGTGGCCTTGACAGTCCGTTCGGTGGCTGATCGGACAGGTTAGCCTTGGGGGCGAGGTACGCAACTCTAGTTAGGGAGGGAAACCCGTTATTTTGTACTTTCACCTACGAGTCGGAGACGACTATCTTTCTCTTAAAATACAGTGTGGAAGGACCTCATTGCTATGATGAAGTAATGGAAGAGACCATCTTAATCGAAAGTCAAGCGCCGATTCTTTCTCTTAGAAACGTTTGTGTAGTTAGTTACCCAATTTTTGGGGTAAGATTGTCCTGCGTTATTTCAGAAAAAATAATTAGATTAGGAAAAACTGTGGTACTCATTACCGTGTTAAGTTCAAAGCCATAAATCTTTGAAGAACTGAAATTGTCTCATTGCTCTCACGTGGGATTAAAAGAAGGCTTGGGAGGAGGCTGAGGTGAGGTTGTAACAAAGGTCTTCCTTTTGATCCTGGTTGGAGGCCACTCCTGTTTTTTTTTTTTGTTTTTTTTTTAAACTGACTCCAGAAGGTTTTTAATCCTGTTCCTTTAAAGCAGTTGTTTGGCAGGGTCAGGGGGAATGTCCCTGAATAACTTTAAGATTTATACCTACAATACACACATATATATGTAGAGCTTAGGTATACACTGCTCCTGGTAATGAAATTGACGAATTTCTGAGTAGTATTTGTAATGCAGTGATTCACAGCCAGGGGCAGTTTTGTCTCTCCAGGGGACATTTGACAGTGCCTAGAGTAATTTTGATTATCGTATCTTGGGGAGCCATGCTACTGGCTTCTAGTGGTAGAGGCCCAGAATGCTGCTAAACATTTTACAATGCACAGAACTGGCACCTCCTCTCCACCCCTCCCAATAAATATTTGGTTCAAAATCAGTAGTGCCAGGGTTGAGAAACTATTTTGTAATGTAATTCAAGACTATTTTATATCTACTTGATTGTATCTGCTTTTTTTCTGGTTTATTTGGAAAACACATAATTTGTTATATTTGTTTTCTATTTCAGTACCACAGTGCCTCTTACAAACAAAGTATGGTATCATTTCAGTATACATTATACATGATAGTCACTTAATTAATAGAATGAAAATCTCAATCTTTCATTTGTTTTTCAGAATAGTTGGAACAAGCTAAAGTTTTCATACATAGTAATGGCTGATGCAATTTTTTCTCTTTTTTAGGATGTCTGGAATGGCCTTAGTCATGAGGCTTTTAGAATTGTTTCAAGGAGGGACTATGCGTAAGTGTAACTTCATTTTCTTTGAGCAGTAAATATTAAACCCCAAAGCAGTGGCCTCTAAGTTTGTGGTTAATGATTCTGCTCAGAAAAAATGACACATCTATGTTTGTTTACAGATTATGTAATGTGCCACTATTCCCACAGTATCAAAATATATCCTTGTGTTATTTTTGTAGTCATTTTGAAGACCACTATTAAGTTGATAACTGTATCATTATTTTAAATGTCTTACAGATCAGAAGCAATCAAGGGAGCAGTTGTTGGTATTGATTTGGGTACTACCAATTCCTGTGTGGCTGTTATGGAAGGTAAACAAGCAAAGGTGAGCATGATTGGCAGCTCTGAATCATGTAATGGTACATAGTACCCAATTTGGAATTCTGTGTTCTTTGGCTTAGAGAAGGGACATTTTTAAAGTTGTGTTTAAGTTTTTAAGACTCATGAGGTAAACCTTTGTGCTTAATTGCATGGTGCCTGATAACTGAATAGATTTGACTTCCCAGGATTTAAGTGTGTCCTCTTGGGCTGATTGTATCCTCTTGGAGTACTGAATTGCCATTTGGACCCATTGGAACCCAATGGGATGGCTTGCAGATGGATTACAGATTACTTCTGTAATCATTCCTGCACTTTTGTAAGTCAGTTGAATTGTTAGAGGTGCAGGAACAGTCCAGAAGCAAGTGGAGTTCCACATAACACATGGGTCACATTCTGTGTAAAGCATGTTCTTAGGGAGTTGCTAGTGGTAGAGGCTATTCTTCTAGAAGAGTCCTTATTCCCATTAGGTTCTTCTTAAGATTTAAAGCACCTAGGATTCTTGAATTGCTTCTTGGCAGTTTTTTTTTTATATGCCTGAAACTTTTAGCCATTACCAAAAAATTGAGAACTAGATTTAATTCTCTGGAAAGGAAAGATTACGTTGTTCCTACATTGATTGAAAGATTTGTAGTTTTTAGTTATAAGTTATTTCAAAGTAAAAGACTAAAGATACTTAAACATCCATTATGTCCAGGAGAAGAAGAGTGCCCATTAGTACTATTCTTGAGCATTTGTTTTGTGATTTGGCAACTGTTTTTGTCTTCAGTAGTTAATACAAAGACAGACACTAGTGGTGACTGGAACCTCATTCTCTGTTTTGCTTTGGGTGTGTTAGGTGCTGGAAAATGCCGAAGGTGCCAGAACCACCCCTTCAGTTGTGGCCTTTACAGCGGATGGTGAGCGACTTGTTGGCATGCCAGCCAAGCGACAGGCTGTCACCAACCCAAACAACACGTTCTATGCCACCAAGCGTCTTATTGGCCGGAGATATGATGACCCTGAAGTCCAGAAAGACATGTGAGTAATAGCAAAAGTGTAGTTAATTGCAAAGGCCACACAGAAGACTCTTTTTAGCAGGATCCCTGGAACACCTTACCTTAGTAATTTTACCTGTCCCTGTGAGCAGGTCCTACCTATACCACCAAAAGGATACCTTTCCAAAAAAAAAAAAAAAAAAAATTCACTCTATCTCCACAGGTAAGGCCTTTGCTGTGTGTAGACATGGTGTATGAAGATTTGGCTAGTCATTCCTGGACCATGCAAATTGGTGTTAAACTCATAAAGCAGTTAGTGTCACAGGCTTCATCATGTGCAGATCAGATACGGTTCAAGGTTTATTCTTGTTGTTGTATGTGTCAGTTACTTCATTACTTTTTATAGCCAATAATGTTCCATTGTGTGGATATATACTACATTTTGTTTATCCACTTACCAGTTAATGGACATTTGGGTTTTCATTTTTTAGCTATTATGGATAATACTGCCATAAACACTTGCATACAGGTTTTTGTATGAACATGTTTTCATTTCTCTGGGCTAGACACCTAGTAATGGAATTTCAGGGTCCTATGGTAATAACTAATCGTTTTCTAAAGCAGCTGCATAAATCTTTTGTTTAGTGGGAAGTAAAGTATGTTCAGGTTTCATCAGGATGTTTTAACATGTTAATATTTTCTGTCTGAAGGTTTTTATTAAATGAATTTCTGAAGTTCTCATTGGCCATGGATCTCTTGGGATGGAGGGTGGGCATTCATGGTGTGTGGTAACCTTGTATGGTAGATTGCTCAGGCATGTCTTTTCAAATACAGTTTTTGTGTCTTGCAGTAAAAATGTTCCCTTTAAAATTGTCCGTGCTTCCAATGGTGATGCCTGGGTTGAAGCTCATGGAAAACTCTATTCTCCAAGTCAGATTGGAGCATTTGTTTTGATGAAGATGAAAGAGACTGCAGGTGAGAATGTTTATTTAGTTCATATCATGGGACAGTCTCTGACGTTATTAGCTTTCATATCCCAGTGTCCCGTGAATGAGTCTGATTGCTTTTATATAGAAAACAAGGAATGGCAAAGCTTAGTTACTCTTCATACCTTCCCTGCAGATTGAATGGAATCTTCCAAGTTTCCCTAATGGTGGCTTGCTTGTTTCTTTTCCCAGTAGGGAAGTAGTGTATTAAAAGCTAAAATACTACACATTAAACTTTTGTCTCTGTTAAGTAAAATTGAAAACGTTCTATTTGAAGAAACTAGTGGCTACTTTAAGTCATTCTAGTTGGTGAACCTTCAGTAAAGTGTTAAAGGGGGGATCTTGGTTTTTAACCAGTGTCATTAGTTGGAGTGTTTTCCTACAAGGTCTGTGCATATTAGATCACAAGCTGAAAAACTGATCAGTGCTATTTGTGGCTCTGAGAAGATGACACAGGTCTTTAGGCTACATTAGTAATTCTGTTACCTATTTCATCTGACAGAATCTCATGATTGGATTCATTCCTTGATTCTTTTCCAGAAAATTACTTGGGGCATACAGCAAAAAATGCTGTCATCACAGTCCCAGCTTATTTCAATGACTCTCAAAGACAGGTGAGCCAGTTAGCATTTTTTAGGAAATTAATGTTACGTGGGGATACAAAGGTGAAAAATGCTTTTCTCTCTTTCTCTCTCTCTCTCTCTTTTTTCAGGCCACTAAGGATGCTGGCCAGATAGCTGGACTAAATGTGCTTCGGGTGATTAATGAACCCACAGCCGCTGCTCTGGCCTATGGTCTAGACAAATCAGAAGACAAAGTGTAAGTCTGTAAACTTCAATATTTATTCCAACTCGTCATCTTGATTTCTTAGTGATTGAGTTTTGTATTTAGACTAAAAATGTGCTGCCTTGACCTTCTTCAAGGCTGTGTAGTTTATTGTTCATTTATTTCAAGACCATTCCTTTGTTTATTTACTGTTTTCCACTACCTACTGGTTTAGTAGGGTCATTCTTCCCTCCCCAACCCAGCCTCACCCCTTTTGGTTTGTATGTTGGCAAGTATTTATCCAAAAGAGTAGTTGAATGCTGTCGATTCTGCTTTTAAATGAATTTGAGTATATATACTTTACATGTAGCTGTTAGGACTATATGTTAATACATTTGTTAGAAAATTATCAAGTTTCACAGTAATCATACGTTGGGAAAAATAGCTAGGTTTATGTATAGTGGCATAGCTTCCGTCATATGCTGGTCAGATATATTCTCAGGTTTGTCCATGTGGTAGCATGTATCAATACTTCATTACTTTTGTTCTTTAAGGCTTTATTTTTTTCTTTCTAGCATTGCTGTATATGATTTAGGTGGTGGAACTTTTGATATCTCTATCCTGGAAATTCAAAAAGGAGTGTTTGAGGTGAAGTCCACCAATGGAGATACTTTCTTAGGTGGTGAAGACTTTGACCAGGCGTTGCTACAACACATTGTGAAGGAGTTTAAAAGAGAGGTTAGTTACTGGTGTGGTTACTATGCAGGCATCAGGATAGTGATAATTTCCTTGTTCAGATTACTGCTTGAAATACTTCTATTTCAGTTTCATGGGTGGGCTGAACTATTCTGGTTACTGTAGCTTCAGAATGGGAATAAACAACAGACTGAAAGGATATGGCACTCTATATAATATTGGAAAAGGTTTGAGGTAGAATTCTACAGCAGAAAGAACTGAGATCAGTCCAACTCCAGGCACAGATTATCTTTTTTAGAATAGGTTTTCTTTTCCCTACAGATTTTTAAAGATAGTAAGTAACTATGTTTTTTAATAAAGGTATGGCTCTCTTTTGTGTGGATGGTTTATCACAGCAATTTAAGTGGTTCATCACCTCACTGGTACTACTGTTGTGTGTCCTCACTTTGTAGACAGGAGTTGATTTGACCAAAGACAACATGGCACTTCAGAGAGTTCGGGAAGCTGCTGAAAAGGCTAAGTGTGAACTCTCCTCATCTGTGCAGGTAAGACTTAGAAAATCCCAACAGTCTTGATGGATCTTTTCAGCCTGAGCTTTCTTGAAGAGTATATTCTAATTGCCTTACAGTTTTCTGGTACTGATAAACATCTTTCCATGAGCAAAGAAGCAGGGTTTTTTTTTTTTTTTTTTTAATGGATGAGCTAAATTTGTTATCCATCCAAATCAGAGGGTTTATATATTGGAGCTAAAATAAAGACTTGAAATGTGCAAAATTAGAATTGCTAGCCTGGAAATACTAGGAGACTCTCAGAATTGCTACTGTCTTCATTTAACTCAAGATACCTCTTTGTGTAAGTCTCTAATTGTCTCTCATTTAATTTAATTATTTGGGTCATGGATCTAGAAAGTGAGGTATGAAACCTGGCTGAAGACTGGGGTTTATACACTTAGCAAGTTTTTCCCTCTGAGCATCAGATTTGTTCAGCATCTCTTTAAGGTGTCAACCTGTGCTGCTTCATTTCTAAGAGGTGAAGCTTCACTTTGCTTTAATCACTAAGAAGAGAATTAAAGCACATTAGGTCTGGGTCAGATATGAAACAACGTGGAAAGCAGATTTAATTGCAAGTTCTCTGGTGGCAGCAGGGAAGTAGAGCCTGTGACTATTTTAGTTTTTAGTTTAGTTGTTAGTTTTAGTCCAGTGAGACAGGAATAGGTGTTAACCTTCAATCAAATCTGGATTTTTTTTTTTTATTTTCAATGAGTGACAGAGTTGTACAAAGTCGCCCATGATGTTGATGATGTTGCTTTGTTTCCTCCTATCATAAGGAGGAAAACTTTGCAACATTATGTGTAGGGTTAGTGTTGAAATAGTGTGGTACTGCCGGAGAATAGCTGTAGTTTCTCCCAGGGGTCTGACACTTTTTTAGGAAGAGGATAGTTGGTTATAGTGTGGCTGTACAGTAAGTCCTCATTTAACACCATCAATAGGTTCTGCAACTTTAAGCAAAATGTCATATAAGAAAATCAGTTTTACCATAGGCTAATTGATATGAACAAGAGTTATAAATTCTATGCCATACATAGCATTAATGTTATAGCAGAATGTCATTATACAAACACTTGCTGTATCCTGTTGGTAGGCATTTGGATTGTTTCCCAGCTTTTTACTATTATAGCAAGGTATATTGAGCATCCTTGTATATAAACGGTCATGCGTGTATGATTATAAATATGTAGGAGAAATTCCAAGAAACCTTACCCTCATGGAGTTTAATGTGGTGTGGGAGGTGGAAATTATTTAGAACATTATATTAAATGTCAAGTCAGAAGTAATGTAATGCAAAGAGTGAGTGGCTCTACAAGTAGGTTCCTAGGGTTCAAGTCCTGTTTCATCACTTATTTACCGTGTGACCTTGCATAAGTTACCTAACATTTCTGTCCTCTCAAAATGAGGATGCTACATTCTTGCTGTTACTAAATTAATACAGATACATAACATGCTTGGGACAATGTGTAGCAAATAGTACTGTAAATGTAAGCTGTTAATGTGGTAAAATGACAAAGTTAGATTTATAATTATAATAGAGGAACCTGATAGTTGACAGAGGTATTTGACAAAGAGTGTTTCCCAAAAAATGTGTTCATCAGGAAAAAGGGTCAAGTATAAAGCACTGGGGTAAAGACCTGAGAAGGGGTCAGTGTGGTTGAAGTGCAAACGCACAGGAGAAGCCTGGGACATGAGGCCAGAGGCTTTATAGATTTGTGCTTTGGTGTCTGTCCTGAGATGAGTGAGTATAAACCACTGAGGACTTTGTATGGGGGGGGGGGGCACTGACATGGTCAGATTTGGGTTTATGAAAGACGCTTTGGCCAAAGTGGAGCAGAGCTTTGTTTTCAGTGGGGAAGGGTTCTGTGGCAGATGGCAGGCTGAGTGGATGTGGGAAATCACTGTATTGTAACACACCAGGTGGTGAGAGGACTTGGACTAGGGGATGATAGCGATAGAGAAGAGACTTGGTTGGATTTGAGAAAGATGAAAGACAGTACTTTGTGAAGAACTGGTTTTACAGAATTGAGAGTCCTGGAGTTTTTCAGATTGCCATTAACTTACAGCATATAGAACTAGACTAATGAAATGGCCACATGTGGGTATTTAAAATTAAATTTTTTTTCCTCAGTTACACTACCTGTATTTCAGGTGCTCAGCCATGTGTGGCTAGTGGCCATTCAAACAGCACAGATTAGAGAACACTGGCTGTTGTCAACAGAAAATTCTGTTGGATCACATTGGTTTGGATGATCAAATTCTATTTCCTGATTCAGGTTATTGACATTTTGCAAAGAAAAGGAAATTGTCATTAGTGTTCTTTAAGGCAATGCCCAATAACATTGTTTCTACAGAAAGTATGTTAATTCTCACTAGTTGTTAAGCATTTAATACTCTAAGGCACTTTACCTGAAGAAAGGTGGTTAAGGACTTGTTCCCCTCGGCTCTTACTTCCTGTTGGCCTTGCTTTGATGTAAAGTTGGAGGAGAGGCATAAGGTAATTCTGTTCCTCAGGGTCTACTAGGACACCTGTGTTGGCATATTTAGTGGTGGGTCTTATTAGTCCAGGTATTCTTACTCCATGCCTTGTTAAGATTGAGGGTTTATTAAATACTGGATATTACATAGTGTGACTGTGGCCATGGTAGTTGCTCTCCATGCGTGTAATGACAGTAAAGTCAGTCCTTGTAGTTCTTCTTAAGCATTTCTGTTTATAGTTTTCTATCTTCCTGAAACTTAAAATGCCCTGGCTTGGTGGCAAGTTATTTGGATCAGAGCATACCTTTGATAGCCAACCCCCTGCCCCGTGCCACCCCCCCCATCCCATGTATATGGAATTTTTTTAACTTGGTAGAAAAAATCAGTAGTGTGGGTCTTTATACAGGGTGGGTAAAAGTAGGTTTACAGTTATTAGTATTAAAAATAATACAATAAGTAATACAAGAATAAACTGTTTCATTTACTCAAAATTGTAAATCTGCTTTTGCCCCACTCTGTATATTTAATGGTAGAACATTTCTTCGTTCTCCTGAACAGGGCTTTTTCCCTACTTCTCTCCTCTGTTCTTCATTGTTTAATAATAGGTTCTGTAGTGTTACCTTTGGAAAGGTAAGAGGTTGAGTCTTAAAGAGTCACTGTCTTTGGTGGCTTCTTTAAAGTACGTGTGACCACTGTGGCATTCAAAGTCTTTCTGTCTTACAGTATTTAATTGAATAAAGAAACTTCACCACTACGGGTCTCCCTGCTTCCTTTGCAGACTGACATCAACTTGCCATATCTTACAATGGATGCTTCTGGACCTAAGCATTTGAATATGAAGGTGACGCGGGCTCAGTTTGAAGGGATTGTGTTTGAGCTAATCAAGAGGACCATTGCCCCATGCCAAAAAGCCATGCAAGATGCAGAAGTCAGCAAGAGTGACATAGGAGAAGTGATTCTTGTTGGTGGCATGACTAGGATGCCCAAGGTATGGCTGGACCCATGGAATTCTCAACATGGAGAGCAGAGAAGGCCAGCACATAGTGTTTTCTTAGGATAAATGGCTTATGTGTAGGGACATGAACATGCGGTCTTTCTTCCACAGTAACTGTGAAAGGAGAATGAATTGGTGCCCTAACTAAAGAGTTCTGTTTGGCCTTTTTTTTTTAATTCTAGGGTATGATAAAAAGGATTAGGAAGGGCAAAATGTATTTGGGGTGGTAACAGAAAATCCTGAACTTAAGTCTTGAAGAATTTTTATGAATGAACATTTCAGGTCGGATAACTCAAAACCTTGGTACTAACTAGCTTCTATGGAGCAATTTTGAACGTGTGTTTTTTGCGGAATAGTGTTTGAGGTTTCTAATTGTATCTCTTCAACAAATATTTGTGCAATGATGCATTCTATTCATCAACACATCATTCTGAAAAGACAGGTGTGTGGAAAACTAATGACTGAGCACAGAACCTGTTGAAGATGTAGTTTGGTTTTTTGTTTTTTTTTTTAAATTTAATCTTTATTGTATTTTTTCTCCATTACCATTTAGTCCCCTTCTACCCTCCTACCCCCAGCAATCACTACCCTTTTGTCCGTGTCCAAAGATGTAATTCTTTATAGCTTTCATAGAATTATCTTGAACCTTGGTATTTTCTTTCTTTTTCAAGTACATGGGCTTAGGAAACCAGAATAAATCTGGCGAGAAGGGGAGAGGCTGTGGGCCAGGAAGAGATGTTAATAAATTATCCTAGATGCTATTTAGTTGTTTGGGTTTTTTTTAATCATTAGTAAAAAAAGGAAAAAAAACAGAAGAATATGCCCAATTTAGCGCCAGTGCTGTCGTCATATGACCACTTCTTCTTTAAAGTTGATTTTTAGTTGGTATGTAGAAGAGGACTTGGGCTATACAATTTTTAAGTTCCGATGCCTTGTATCCTGTATTCCCAATTTAATGTGTTATATGGGAAACTAGATAACAAGCACAAATTCTTCCCAAATTTAAAGTGAGGTATCATGTGAGTAAAATACAAGAGTGGTATCTATATGATACACTCAGATCATTAACAAGAACTCAACTATGAAATACTAGTAATTTGAGTGAAATTTTTGGGTCTGAATGAAGAAACCTGTCCTGTGATTTGCTAAGGTCTTGGGAGACACATGTGTTCTCTGTCCCCTTCTTGGGCAATTAGTTGCTTTGAGTAGTGGGTGACAGGTTCTTGTTTCTTGATGCTCAGGTTCAGCAGACTGTGCAGGATCTCTTTGGCCGAGCCCCAAGTAAAGCTGTCAATCCTGACGAGGCTGTAGCCATTGGAGCTGCCATTCAGGGAGGTGTGTTGGCTGGTGATGTCACAGATGTACTGCTCCTGGATGTCACTCCCCTTTCTCTGGGTATTGAGACTCTGGGAGGTGTATTTACCAAACTCATTAACAGGAATACCACCATTCCAACCAAGAAAAGCCAGGTAAGAACTCCCCTCCCTGATGTCACAGACTTACCAGGTTCTGTGATGGATGTGATTACAGCCACTCTTGTGAGCTTTTCCTGGAAATTTAACTCTTTGTTTTGCAGTCTATACTAGTTGAATGTGGGTGGTGAGACTTTATCTATTATTTTGTTCTCTTTACCTGTCAGCCAGCAGTGGTGATTGTAGGGAAGGCATTAATAGTCTCTCCCTCACAGGATTAAAATAACTTGCCAAAAGGAGGCTCATTACTTGGGACTAAATTCCCTCTTCTCCTCTGTTCTCAAAGGCAATAAAAAGAAAGGCCTGACCGTTAGGGGTGATTGATGGATGTCCTGAGATGCCAGCCAGGACCATTTGGACAATTGCTTGGGTTTTAGTTTCTTAATTCTTGGGTTAAGAATTATTTTCTGACTTTACCAATTTTGATGTTTTTATGAAAAACTGGCTATTGCTGTGTTTTGGCCTTGCTGTGATGCCGGCACATCATTTTGAAGAAAAGTGTGTGGTGACTTCCTGTGGCTCAGCACTAAATACAGGGTCTGACAGAAATAACACCTCCTTGAGTGTGGTTGGTAGGGTAATAATATGGGTGTAATAGTTTTAATTTGAACATTTCACACAAAATGTCCTATGGTATGCTTGAGTGTGATATTGTTATGTTACATTCTTATGAATTTGTAATTAAAAGGGCGCGTTATTTGTGCCAGACACTACATATCCTATCTTTCCCAGACGAGCGTGTTTCAATAGCCTGTGTTTAGCTCCTTCTCATGAGGCCTTCTGTGCCAGTGTTGCATCTTCGTACAGTGCATTTGCTTAGCAGAAACAATGGCTATTGCATGCCCTTTTGCTGTGCGAATCCTACTCCTGTTCCCAGCAAAGACATACAAGCCTTTGTTCTGAAAATTGTGTACATTAGGACCCTTCCAGTGTTGGGTTGTGAATTTCTTTCTTTGGCTTATACTTTGTGTAAGGGGAGTAATTTAATTAGATTGCCAATCCAGGAAGTGTCTTTTTCCCTAGGTGTTTTCTACAGCCGCTGATGGTCAGACTCAAGTGGAGATTAAAGTGTGTCAGGGTGAGAGAGAGATGGCTGGAGACAACAAACTTCTTGGACAGTTTACTTTGGTGGGTATTGGGAATCCTAAATATGCTCCTCATTCTCATGTACTTTAAGTTAGATGATATTCTGACCCCTTTTGATATCACTATAAACAGCTGAAACAGTCTGTTATCTTAACATAGTTTACATGCAAATACAATTTTTACCTGAAAGCCTTGCTTACGCCTTAGGAATTTTAAGAATATTATAAATATAAGAGACAGGGAAGTATTCATACTAATACTGATTAGGAGAAATTTCTAGTTACTAATTTAAGAGACATTATTATTCACTTCTAATTAGCATTGCCTGTTGGTTCTTGGTGAGATGAACAATGATGGAAAGGTTTGCTCTTTCTGTTGTTTCCCCAGATATGTATAGCCATTATGATTACTTGCTGTACTCAACCTTCACTGGTGTGAGCCCTGTTTATTTCAGGTAGCAATGGACCTGCTACCTTTATTTTAAACTTTCTTTTGTACATTTAATTAAGTGAAGCTGTACCTTATTCCTTCCTGGAACCAAGTGACTTGTTCCCAAGAAGACTATCTAGGTTTGGAACTAGAGCACTGGACCTCTTTGTGAGGAGCTTACTCTGAGTATTTATTTTAGATTGGAATTCCCCCAGCCCCTCGTGGAGTCCCTCAGATTGAAGTTACATTTGACATTGATGCCAACGGGATCGTGCATGTTTCTGCCAAAGATAAGGGTACAGGACGTGAGCAGCAGAGTAAGTTTTCTTTCTTACTTATGATTGTAAGAGGTAAGGACCTTGGAGTTCCTTTCTGTTGGGAACAAGATGCTCTAGGTTATACATATCTTTTCTTCCAGACTTGGGAGGAGGATAAGTCCTTTTTGCCCCTTTTCCCCTCAGTTATCGGATTCACACTAACGGATGTAGTGGTGTTTATTTCCGAAAATAGGCAAGCACTGAGCCTCGGGACTGCTGAGCTATTTTGGTAGGAGGCAGGATAGTTGGTAGGAGGCAGATCCTTCATTTCTTTCTGCTTATTTTAGGACAACATCATGGTATGATTCCTCTTGATAATTCACATCATTGGTTCTTCTGAGCAGTAGTATTTTTCTTAATACAATAGAAAATGAGACTTATAATTTTACGTGTGAAGTAACAAAATGCTTTCTTTTCACTCTAGTTGTGATCCAGTCTTCTGGTGGGTTAAGCAAAGACGATATTGAAAATATGGTTAAAAATGCAGAAAAGTATGCTGAGGAAGACAGGCGAAAGAAGGTGATTAGTAATTTTTTTTTTTTTAAGATTTTATTCATTTACTTTTAGAGGGAGGGAAAAGGAGGGAAAAAGAGAGGGAGAGAAACATCAGTGTAAGAGATCCATGGATTGGTTGCCTCTTACACATCCCCAGCTGGAGACCTGGCCCGCAACCCAGGCATGTGCCCTGACTGGGAACCAAACTGGCAACCTTCTGGTTCACAGGTGGGTGCTCAATCCACTGAGCCACACCAGCCAGGGCTAATTAGTACTTCCTTTTCAACTGGGAAATGAAAGTGGGATTTTGGACATTTGTCACTGATCTTGTATCTTCTGTTACCCTCAGTCTATCCCTTGTCCCCCTTTGCTCATAACTTTTGTGGAATGCCTTTAATTTATTCTCAGTCTTCCCCTGTCGATTCTTATGTTAGAAAATCCAGCTAAAATCTCTTACAGGCTACCTCAGACCAACCACAGTGATTTCTCTCCTGTTTTTACTCTGTAACTGTATACAGCAGTCAGCATGTTATCTTTTCTCAGTGAGAACCTTCAGCCATCTGGTGGTTCATTGGGAAGTCTTCAATTTCTGATTTCTCTTAGGAACGAGTTGAAGCAGTTAATATGGCTGAAGGAATCATCCATGATACAGAAAGCAAGATGGAAGAATTCAAGGACCAATTGCCTGCTGATGAGGTAAGCCCTATTTTATAATAGAATAATAGTTCAGGAAGTTGGGAGGCAGTGTAACCAATGTCAGTAAAGTTTGTCTCTGGGTCTTGATAAGAATTTAGTTTTTAAGAAATGTTTTCTGAATATTTACTGCTTTGTGTAATAAGAAACCCAGAAAAAGTGAGGGTTTTGTGTTGTTTTCTTTTTAAGTGCAACAAACTAAAAGAAGAAATTTCCAAAATGAGGGAGCTCCTGGCTCGAAAAGATAGTGAAACTGGAGAAAACATCAGGCAGGCAGCATCTTCCCTTCAGCAAGCATCATTGAAACTCTTCGAAATGGCATACAAAAAGGTACAAGTATTGAAAGGTGTTTTTGCTCAATTACTACTTTGTTGCTCCCAATTTGATCCTCCTGTAACTGCTCTTGATTACTCTCATTAATGGCTTATTACATAGCCATTCATAGAACAGTGAGTATTGAAATTATCCCTCCTCCTCCCCTCCCTCTCTGGGAGGGAGGGTGAGGTCAAAGAGAAGGAGTCACAGAAACCAATAGTGTGTGGGCAGAGAGAGAGTAGAATAGGCAGGATACGGCTCTTTCATTTTTTAGTTCATCAAATAGCAAGCTGTCCGTGTTCACATTAAATGAGTGGCTGTCAAATGTTTTCTTAACAGATGGCCTCTGAGCGGGAAGGCTCTGGAAGTTCTGGCACTGGGGAACAAAAGGAAGATCAAAAAGAAGAGAAACAGTAATAGTAAACTTTGGAGCCAAAAGGACAACATATTATGGTGCTTGGGAGTGAAGGGACTTCCTGAGCAGAAATGGGCAAACTTCAGTCTTTTACTGTGTTTTTGCAGTATTCTATATATAATTTCCTTAATATGTAAATTTAGTGACTATTAGCTAATGATCGTTTAATGAGTGATAATTCCAGCAGTACAAAGCTCACAATGTTCTGTTCCTAGCCTATCATTTTTCAGCTGCACGTGAAAGGGAAGAAGATGATTTATTGATCAGTATAAAGACTTAATAACATTGTTTTGTGCTGAAGTAACTGTATTTCAAAGGGGTGAAACCATCCCACAGAGCAAAAAAGGTAGTCAGTCATAAACCTGGAGTGAGACCATCTGGGTATAAGATACTTAAGTACTGCCGTGCCAGTATGTGTGTACATTGGATTCTTCAACTGAGGCCTTGCAAGGCAAGTCTGTGGTGCCACATTCACAGGTAGAGCAATGGAAGCAAGGTCAATAGAAAACTATTTATGTTAGGTACAACTTTTAAAACAAGGTAATAAAGCTTCCTAATTTTCCTGTGGGACACTTTTATAGCTCCCTTCTGGCCTTTGGCACCTGTATCTTTGATTGATTTTTTTTTTGATCCACCCTGGATTTTTTTTTTTAAATAAATATGAAAAGCATTTGATCTCTTGTTTGTGAGGGGTGAGACTCTTGAGATATAGTTACAAGATTATAATATGCATCATACTTTCCAGTTCCCTGACCTAGGGTCACTCAGGTAAAACAGGATTTAGAAGAGCTAGTGTAATGAAATAATATAAGCATTGTCACCAAGGACAGGTCTGGTTCTGAGGGGTTTTTGGGTGTTTTTTTCTCTTATAGCCCCATCTTTTGTTTGGAATGCAAGTCTAGATCTCTAGCTTAAAAACTGTGCTATTTTCCGGTTGCTTTCTGAGTTTTCATTCTGTTCTAGTAGCTTTATGTCAGTCTAGTAGTAAATCCTTTAGTGGTTCAGTAACATTAGATACTGATTCTTTCCGTATTTTTGCTCTCACCCTCAGTGAGTTGCCTTGTCCTAAACTCTGTTTTAGTTCTGATTACCATGTACTTGTGTAACAGCTTCAGAAGCAGAAATGTGACTGCATCTTTCCTGTATCTTTCATTTAAGTATTGAGAATTTTTTTCCCCAAAAGTCTTTAACAGACTTCCCTCATGTTTCATGGACTGCTATCGTAGACCATGCATAAAGGAATTTTAATAAGAACATGGGGCTTGGATCCCATCAGAGATAATGGATCCCATCAGAGATAATGCCTCCTTTTATTTTGTGGTGATACCTAGAAATGAAATTCAATACAATGCTCTAATGTGACATTGTTTACATGTTAATTACATTCCTGGAGAGTTGTTCATTAACACCCATGTAAATACTTCTTGAGATTCATAAAAAATAAATTCTAGGCTCAAGTTCTCATCCACATGCACACTTGGTGGGAACCTTGTGGAATGTGTAGTAATTATCCATGACATTGTTTTGTGGTGTGTTAGATATTTAGCATTTGTTGGTTGGCTCTTACCCAGTAAACACCTCTTCTATCTCCTAATCATTGTGATAACTAAGCCCTTCAAGGATTTCCAAAGCATCCAATTAAGAACTACTGGCTTTTATGATTCAAGACCCAACCTTGGGATCAGGAAAAGGAGCCAAACACCCCCTGAACAGTATGGGTTCTGTGAGGAAGGAGGGAGAAGAGCTACTTGGATAGGTAACCACAACTGTCTCAAGCTTCCCCCTGTGTAGTGAACATTCCATTTACAGACCAATAAAACATAACTTCTGCAAACAGCCAGAAAAGCAAAAAGATTTCTATTCTTCAGATACAGGTTCCCTTGGTGACAACTGCTTGGTAGGACCCAAAAGGAACTTGTAGTTTCCTTTCCTAAGTGGTCTTTGCAGGAAATGTACTTTCTATGGTTGAGCAGCCCCCCCCCCAACCAAAAAAAAATTAAAAAAAAAAAAAAAAAACACATGGAATAAAAATATTAGCAACCTAAAAGTACATCCAGAATCACCATCTCCACTCTGGACACTTAGGATAAGTTACTACTTATTACACATAGTATTCCCCACATAAGATCACACACCTTGCTACTTTTTTCCCATAGCAGCGGTCAGGCCTGCCTGCCTGCCCATAGGCTTCATGTGGTCAGGCCCCTCACTACCTCTTTGCCCTTATGCTCCAACTACTTTACTTTGGGATCTTTGTCTTTCCTCCCTTGCTGGAAAAGCTGCCCAAACTTCCATTTGGCTCACCCCTCACTTTTTTCATAAGGTTTTGAAATTTCATAAAATCGTAGTCCGCTGTCAAGTCCCTGCCATTTCTTGCCTCTTTACCCTACTCTATTTTTCTCCTTAGCAATTATCACCTATTTGTTTTTTCCCCCACCCCCACTGCCATGGTGCGAATTTCTGTGCCACACATCCCCCCACCCCAATTTCCATGTTGAAATCCTAACCTAAATTAGGTATTAGGAGGTGGGGCCTTGGGGAAGTGATAGAGTAGTACCCTTCAAAAAGGGCTCCAGAGATTTCCTCCCCTTCCCACCAAGTGAGGATACAATGAGAAGTCTGTGACCAATACAAGGACCCTCATCTGACCATGCTGGCACCTCGATCTCTGACTTCCAGCTTCCAGGACTGCCAGAACAAGTTTTTTACAAACTACCCAGTTTGTCATTTTGTTACAACAGCCCAGAAGGACTGGGAGCCATCCTGTAAGCTCCCTGGGGCCACAAACTTTTTTGCTCACTGCTATTTCCCAACACCTAGAACAATGCCTGATACATAAGTACTCAAATTTTTGTCAAATTAGTCTCTCCCACTGTCTAAAAGAGTGAATTAAGGTCCCCTTGTTTTTTTGAACTTTGGTCTAAATCATCTGTGAGGAGTATTAGGAGCAACTTACACCAAACCCAGAAACAAAAACTTAATTGGTAAAAGACAAAAAGAAGCCAAGAAGAAACTGTTGATAGTAATGTAGCCCAAAGTTCTCCTGGACCACCAGCAAGGAGGGGTGGGCAGGGTAGAAAGGAGTAACCAGAATAAATTTGCAATCTTGTATACTTTATTTCTTAGTAAAGAGTCCAGTTCTGTTGCTGACTCATTGATTCTATGTGATCAAATAAACATTGCTATTTACCCAGGTAGAGTTAACTTTCCTCAACTTATTTTGAAAATTTCAAACCTACTTAGAAAAGAATTAAGAATAGTATAATGAACACACACAAACACATACACCTTTCACCTAGATTCAACTAGCACTTTGCCATATTAGCACTTTCACACACTGTTGTATGGTTTTTCTGTCTTCTGAACATCATGACACTTAAACCTAAATGTCAGTATTTCTGCAAACATCTTGTATGAACAGAACTTTCTCTCCACAACTAATAAAATCAGAAAGTAGATGATATACTATTATCTAATATGTGGCCTAATAATAAAACCACAGGCCAATTTCACTGACGAACATAGACACTAAAATCCTCAACAAAATATTGGCAAACCACATCCAGCAACACATAAAAAAAGATTATCCACCGTAATCAAGTGGAATTCATCCCAGGAATCTAGGGATGGTTCAATATACGCAAATCAATAAACGTAATATATCACAAACGGAAAGACAAAAACCACATGATCATCTCGATAGATGGAGAAAAAGCATTCGATAAGGTATAGCACCCATTTATCATCAAAACACTCAGCAAAATGGGAATAAATGGGGCATTCTTCAGTGTAATAAAGGCCATATACGAAAAATCTACAACCAACATCACACTCAATGGGCAAAAACTAAAAGCTTTCCCACTAAGATCGGGAATACTTAAAGGATGTCTGCTTTCACCACTTCTATTCAACATAGTTTTGGGAGTCCTAGCCACAGTGGGCAGATAAGAAAAAGAAAAGGCATCCAAAAAAAACCCCCAAAAACAGAACTTTCTCCCCACAACTAATAGAAAATAAATTATCTAATATGTAACCCATATTAAAAGTTACTTGTCTCAATAATAACCTCTAACTTTTTTTTGTCAAATCAAAGATCACACATGGCATTTAGTTATATCTAAGACTAGTTCCTTTGCCTTTTTTCTTTCCATGACTGAGATTTTTGAAGGGCACAGGCCATTTGTTCTGCAGAATGACACTTCAGATTCACATGATTTCCTTGTGTTCAGAGTTGTGTATACACTATTAGTAGGACTACTATATAAGCGTTGTGTCTTTATCAATGCATCAGTTACCAAGGAGAATGTCAGTTCTATGCTTTGCTCCACACTTCACTATAAAAAATAAGTAATTCTTCTTGAATAAGTAATCTGTGGGGGTGGCTTAATTTTAAGTATAACATTAACTAGAGAGTCTATAGTAACAGGGAGCAGTAAAGACAAAAGCGAATTCTTACTGTGCATGACAAGATTGGAAATGAGACAACCCAAATTTTGGAAATAAAGCTGCTTCAAGCAAAGACCCTTCACTATTTCAGATACCAGTGCAACTGCATTCTCCAGTCCTAAGGCAGTTTTGTAAGGGCTATGTATCCTTCTTTCTTGTCCTCTAATAATCAGAACAACGAAATGGAAGAGAACCCTAGATGTAGTATAGGGTGACCTACATTACACAATCTGTGAAGAGCATAAAAGAGGTAATTTAGCAATCACAGAACCATTAAAACAACCATTTCAATAGATCAAAAACAACTGAACATCAGCAATTTCATATAGTTAAACTAAATACAATGCATCATCAAATCCACTTGCCAACAGCAAATCAGGAAGCAAAAGTATCTTCACACTAAAGAGAAAGCCGCAGCTGAACCAGCCTTTAATAATTACAAGCTTCAACTCAGATCAGGAAACAAAGGAGAAAAATGTTCACCTAAATCACAGGGTTTTAAACAGGTTCTTGTAGCACCTGACCCAGAACATGGAGATTTAAGGCAAAGGCAACGGCAATGGGGAATGGGCAGACAATATGAGTGACTTCAGGAAGTCCATAAACCACTGATAAAATGTAAGATGGTCAATACTAATTCTGGGAAAGTGGCCCACTGATTTCTTGAAGGGATCTGCGACCAAAAGAGGATTAACCACCATAGATTTCCTAAAGGGGAAAATCAATGTACCTTAGTCTAACTTGCATAAATTCAAGTCATACCTTCCCGGTCCCTGTCATCCTTGGTCCTGTAGAATATAAGGTTGCAGGTTCAGTTCCCTGTCGCAGATACGCAGGTTGTGGGTTCGATCCCTGGTCGGGGTGTGTACAAGGTAACCAACTGATCTTTCTCACAGTGATGTTTCTCTCCCTCTCTAAAAGTAATGAAAAAATTTCTTTGGGTGAGGACTAAAAAAAAATTTCATACACTTTTTTTTCAACTTTTTAATGTTTAATTCAGCAACTTCTTGTAACATTTCCCCCTTTCCGTGATTACTTTGAATCAAATTCCAGAAATAATTTTACTCTTAACATTTCATTATGTACTTCTAAAAGGGTTTTTCTACAAAACATCACATCTAAAAATATTAACAATTGTTTAATGTGAAACACCTGAATGTTCAAATTTCCTGAATTGTTCCATAACTTTTTCAAGAAAGAGTCAGGAACTAAATAAAGGCTTCATCCTATACTGGAAACATCAAAAGTATAGTTTTCCCTGCCTCTTTTTCCCCTTGTTTGCAATATATTTGTTGAAGAGAGTGAGCCACTGGGCCAGGAATTTCCTACATTGTACATCGCACAGACTGCATCCCTGTGGTGTCATTTAGCATGTTCTTCCTTTCCTGCTTGATCTGATTCAAGTTGAGTTTTTTGACAAGAGGTGGTATGTACTTCCATCAATAGGCACACAATTCTGGTTGGTTGTATAGTGATGTTAGCAGCCACTGATGATCATTATATAGATCTCTAATTTCATTAAAAGTATACTAGTTCACGTCTATCTTTTCATCTTTTAGTTGGAATACCTATACAGTGAGAAACTTACTCTCAGAAGTACCTAGTTACCTTGCTGTACAGTTCATATGGGAAAGGCTTCTTTGTGTACTTGTTTTTAGAATGAGTTGGTGTTGGCAATAATTTTTTTGGATTTGACACCAAAAGCAAAGGCAACAAAAGCAAAAATGACTAAATGGGACTACATCAATTTAAAAAGCTGCAGAGCAAAGGAAACCAGCAACCAAATGAAAAGGCAACCCCTATGGAATAGGAGAAAACATCTGCAAATCATATATCTGATAAGGGGTTAATAGCCAAAATATATAAAGAACTCATACAACTAAACAGCAATAAATCCAATCAAAAATGGGCAGAGGATCTGAATAGAGATTTTTCCAAAGAAGACATACAGATGATCAACAGGTACATGAAAAGGTGCTCAAAATGACTATCGTCAGGGAAATGCAAATCAAAATCACAATGGGATACCACCTTGAATGGCCATTATTAAAAAAAGAACAAGAAATAAGCGTTGGGAAGAATGTGGAAACATGCACTATTGGTGTGAATGAAAATTGGCGCTATGGAAAATAATAGAGAGTTTTTTCCTCAAAAAAATTAAAAATAGAACTACCATATGATCCAGCAATTCCACTTCTATTTATCCAAAAAAACCCAAAAACACTAATTTGAAAAAGACATATGCACCCCATGTTCACTGCAGCATTATTTACAAGAACCAAGCTATGGAAACAATTGAAATGCCCATTGCTGAATGAACAGATAAAATGTGAAATACAGATACACATAGAGAATATTATTCAGCCATAAAAAAGAATGAAACCTTGCCATTCATGACAATATCAATCGACTTTTGAGAGCATTATGCTAAGTGCAGCAAGTCAGAGAAAGACAAATACCTTATCTCACTTGTATGTGGAATCTTAAAGAAAAAAAGCTCATAGATTCAAAGAATTGGTGGTTCTCAGATGGGAGTGGAGGGGTGAAAGTGGGAGGTGATAGTGGATCAGTGAAACAAGTAAGGGAATCAAAAGGTACAAACTTCCAGTTATAAAACGAAGTCTTGGGATGTAATGTACAGCATGACAACTATACTTAATAATACTGTCTGCATATTTGAAAGTTGCTAAGAGAGCAGATCTTAAAAGTTCTCATCACAAGAAAAAAATTGTTTTAACTGCGTATGGTGATATATTAACTAGACTTAATTACTGTGATTATTTCACAATACAAATATCAAATCATTATCTTCTACATCTGAAACGACGTTATGTGTTAATTATACCACAGTAAAAAGTCAATTGGGGTAATAAAAGTGCTGATAGCCCTGGCAGGTGTGGCTCAGTTGGCTGGAGCATGGTCCTATAGCCCAGGGTTTGCAGGTTTGATCCCCGATCCAGGGGCATATGAGTGGCAACCAATCGATGCTTCTACCTCACATTCATGTTTCTCTCCCTTCCTCTCTAAAAGCCATGCAAAAAAAGTCCTCAGGTAAAAATTTTTTTTACAGTACTGATTAAAAAAAAGAAACAACCCAGCAGTTTGTTAACTTCACTTCTTTATAATGCAACAAGGTGTTTCAGGCTCACTTTGTTCATTTCTACCTCAGTCCTGTAAACAGCTACTTCATTTACACTGTCATTTATTTAACTTCCCTACATCCCTTTAGCCTCTAAAAAAAGACTAAATTTAAGGACTGTTCTACATCTAAAACTTTTCTGCATTTTCATTTCAGTGCTAGACAGAAAAATGGCACACTATCTATAGAATCGAACTAAAAGATTAGCATCGGTCTGGATATTCTGAGTTTCTCTAGCATCAAAAAAGGCACCACTGAAAATATTAAGCACTTTCTCCCCAGGCAGTCCAAAGGCATGGCTCAATCACACCCTGCTAATTATTTCATGCTATGGAAGACCTACTCCAGCTAGTGAGGGCTGCCTAGAACAAAGGTTCTTTAAAAACGGAAAGAGAGAAAGAAAAAAAAATTCTCTATGTGCATTGTTTCCTTAAAGTTACAAACCACCCTGGCTGGTATGGCTCAGTGGGTTGAGTGCTGACCTGCAAACCAAAAGGTCATCAGTTTAATTCCTAGTCAGGGCACATGCCTGGGTTACCAGCCAGGTTCCTGGCCGGGTACATGTGAGAGGCAGCCAATTGATGTTTCTCTCACACATCAATGTTTCTCTTCTCCTTTCTCTCTTCCTTCCCCTCTCTAAAAATAAGTAAATCTTTTTTTTTTTAATTGGAAATCATTATAGGGTAAAGTATTTAATAGTATCTGCTTAACGAGTCTACAAATTCATATGAAGATGTTTGGTCATACAGAGAGCTGCTGCTATTCCTTAGTGGTATAGTTCCCCCTCCCACTGAAGGGTTGCACTTCACCACTGGGTGTCCACAGGGGAGTAAATGAAGCCTTACACTTGTCTATTTCAAGTCACTTTCATACACACTGCACTCCATAGTTAAGCAACTGTTTTATGTGAGTTTACACAAATCTTAAATCCTTTGAGTTCTACAATATATTGTACCACTATAGATTAAGGCCTTCTGAACTGGATTTTACTGGCTTGGACAAAAAGTCCATTTAGTTTTTTCTGTAAAATAAAAAACACATTTTTTTCACCAATAACTTCATTGATTTGGATATTTTGAGTATGTTAGCTATCTCTCCCATGTGGTGTGAAGTTAATTTTTCTCAATTAATGTCTTGATTTGATCGCTATCAACTTCAACTGGTCTACCCAACCATGGAGCATCATCCAGCGAGAAATCTCCAGTAGGAAATTTTGCAAACCACTTTTGTTTGACATGTTCTACAAGTCACAGCCCCTTTTCCATATACTGCACAAATCTTTTTGCATTTCAGTTTTTACTTTCTTGAAATAATGAAACAAAGTATGCAAAAATGTTGCATATTTTTTCCATCATAAATATTAAAATGGATACACAAAAACTCACCAAGTTTGATTTTCTTTTTAAAATGCAAGTTGATAATGGCAGCAATCACAAAACAACCTAACAAAATCGTTTTGAACAAAGTTGAAGACAACTAAGTACCACTAGAGCCATTTTACAGAAAAAATCCAAACAAACCTTTTGGCCAACCCAATATTTACCGTAAGATTTCTTTATTTAAGGATAAAATCTACAGGACTGCATTCCTCAAATTCATTATGCTTAAGTACAGCCAGGAACTTCAGGACTGACTAGACATTCCTTTATTGATCTTCATCTCCTTCATGAAGTTGTGAGCACTTTAGAGATACTCTAATCCAGATATTTTTCAAGTTATTTTTCTAGGCACAAAAACAGTTTTTCTTTTAACAAAATCTTATATGAAACTCCCTGATATATCGGGGCAGGGAAAACCCACATATACCTATTAAGTAAGAAAAAGTCATTCATTCTACTAATATAGTTAGGATATAAAAATACCCAATATTTTAAACTTCAACTCTGAAAAAGTCCAAATTTCTAACAATTAACATACCAGCCATCAAAAAGGAAAAATATCTCAAAGACCTATTTTACTGGCTCCCTCTTTCCACCATGAGGAAAAGGAAAACAAAAAACAAAAAAAAACCCCTAGAAATTGTACTTTGGATCTGCTCTACCTTTAGTCTTTCAACTTTATTTTGTGCAGGAGAATGATGAAGTCAATAGTGTCACAGGTCCTAGTGGACAGAACAAACTAGGAGAAACTAAAAACATTCACTGATGGCATATGCTTGCTGTAAATGGTACGAGGCACTTTACACAAGTTACTTAATCCAACAACAGCCCCATAAAACAACATCCCCATTTTACAAATAAGAAAAATGAAATTGTGCCAGGCTTGAGAAGTGACTTGCTGAAGTTAAAGAGTCAGCATTCAACTGCCTAGCTCCAGATGTCTTTCCTTAACCCCATCAAATTTCAGAAGTATCTTTTTCTTCTTGGCTAATCTTGAACTGGCTTCCACATTAGCAACCAACTACCTCTGTATCTAACAACACTGTATTCTCAAGCTATTGGTGTTTTCAACATCAAAACAATCCATCCCTCTCCTTTCTCTTCATCTCTGACTAAGAATGTCATCTATGCCCAAAACAGTATAAGTTTATTACCTAACAGAGCTAGGGAAGAAATTCTGCCACCAAGTACAAATCCTTCATTTTTCAGAAGACAGCCTGTGCCTAGAGACTATTTATTCTATTCTCACCATATAGCATTTTGAAAAAAACAAACTGGCATTACCCTTATATCACAGGAGCTTCCTCCTGGACACTGAGTGGTCATGGTCCCATTTAAAGAAGCTTGTCTTTGCTGAAGCATCCCTGTTCTATTCCTCCCAAATCTCTTCTGCTAGGGATCCATGCCAGCCTTTGCCTCTAACACACTGATTTCCAATACTAAATATAGTGATGGTAAATTTGCAGCAACTGAGCAAGTAAGCTTTGGCAGCTACAGTTAAACTGCCTGAGTCTACAATATTCTAAGAAACAAGTTGCATATCTTGGTAATCACCAAGTTTGAAGGATTAAAAGGTTGAGAAACAGCATTCTATCTGGGATTCACTATGTTTGCTTCTGCATGAATCACACAAAAATGCAAGCTTGTGAGCTGGTCTACAAAGTCTGTGAAGCCATCAAACACGGACCAGAAACAACATTATAAACATAAAAACGAGCAGGGAGTGTAGATGAAGGCAATCTACTATAGAAAGTAGGAATTGGGGAAGGGGAATGAAGCAGGACAAAGCTACAGACATGGTAAACACCTAGTCAGTAAGCAGTGTTTATAACTATTTACAAAGGCCCATTACTAAGTACAGTGAAAAGAGCAGAGAGTACAATAAATACTACGTAATAAGTGAACATATGCTGAAAATCACAAAACGGAAACTAAAGAACAGATTCCATCCTGGGAATGCATTTGCTGGGGGAGAAAAGACTTGCCCTACAGGAAGTCTGTGTCCTCACCTTATGGAAATATGACTAATGAGGCTGCTGCATGATTAAATGCACGGACCATGCAGTCTGGAAACCATAAACTAGCTGTGAGACTCTAATCGAGTCCCTTTCACCTTACTTTGCCCCAGTTTCCCAATCTATGAAATGGGGACAACATCCATCCCCACCTCCAGAGTGTGGACAAAGTTACAATAACATAGGAAAAGGACTCAAAGCCCCCACAAATGCAACTTCCTTATTGACATCACCACCTGTATGTCTCATAAGCAATCTCGAATAGGCCCAAGATAAAATTTTCAGTCATCTTCCAAAACCTGCGCATCTTTCCCATCTCAGTAAGTCTAACGACATCAGTACCCTAGGAGCCATTCTTACCCTTCCTCCACCTCCAACCCATCATCCAGTCCTACCCATGCTAAGTCCCACATATCATTCACCTCTATCTGCACCGTCACCACGCTATTCTAAGCTACAACAATCTCTCACATGATTTACCGCAGCAGCCAAAAGGAACTCTAGGCTCCACTTTTGCGCTCTCCAATTCAAGTCCGTCTTCTGAAAAGCATAACTGTATCATCATGGCACCTCCACATCTCTAAATCCTTTGTTAAGCTCTGAATTGTTCTTAGGAGAAAAGAGGCAAAACTCAAGCCTAGTTTTTAAGGCTTTGTACAATCTGTCCCCGGCTTCCTTCTCAAGCCATTCTTCCCATTCTCGACTTTGCTCCACCACACTGGCTTCTTCGTAGTGCCTAAAATGTGTTACGCTCCCGCCTGACAAACCCTTACTCATCCTTTGGGTCTCGTTCCAAAGTTGGGCCCGCTTTCATTACACTCTCACAGCAATCTGAAGCACTTACTTATTTTATTACAGAAAAGTAAAAAAGCACAAATGGTTATAAACCCAACTTAAGTTGAAAGCTCCACGAAGGTGGGCACTGGTTCGCCTCAGTATCCTCATGAAAACCGGGTTGGCACACAGTTTGGGGCCAAGTATTTGAATGAACCCAACTAAGGTGAGGAGACAAAGTAGCTAATTAAAAATCATTAATCAAAAAGATAAAGTTCTAACTTACATGGCAGCCCATTTTGCTTCAACTCTCTACACCTCCACTCTGAACAGATCAGACCAAACCATTCAAGGGATCAGATACCTCAAGTCTCAAACTTCAGATAACCAGCCCCTGCCTGGCTTCCCCCACCCCCCCTCAAAGTCCCGTGTACAAAGTGAACCATCTTAGCACTGAGGCGAGGAGGAACACGCCTCTTTCGCCCCAGCGAGTGGCGGGGTCCCGAACCACCCGGGGTAAATTTCCTAATCCGGACGTCCTGGCCGGGAGTCTGAACACTAGTCCAGTCAGCTGTGACGCACGCAGGCCGGAACACTTCGTCAGCTGTGAGGCCGGGAAGCCGCGAGACGCTGCTTTGAGGCTTCTCAGGCGCAATTCAAACCTCGCGTCCCGACTCCAGCGTCTAGTCGCGCGTCCCAGACCCTCACAAGTCCATTCGATTCAAGGAGGAGGGACGGGAAACACGACGACCCACGTGCCTCGCCCTTTAAGAAACACCCCCATTCGAGCCTGGCGGGGCTCTGAGTAAATCCTCGCGATAGCTACCGGATTTCGCCCGCTTCCTCCTCTCAGCTTGCCGGGCCGGAAAAAAGATAGTACGTCCCGCCCCTGGCCTTATCTCACAAGGCAGCGCGGTCTCAGCTGTGGCCAATCGGCAGGCTCATTGTTGGCCACGACGCAGAGAGCCAATGGAAAGTCGCGGCGCGCGCCGACCTTTCCCTTTTCCGCACAGCCCCCTCCCTTCCGCCCGCCGACTTCCACTCAGCCCCCTGGCGGAGGAAGTGATGTCACAGGCCCCATGTGAGCGGATTGCAACACATGCAGCTGCCTGGAGAGAGGGAGCCGGTGTCCTACGTCAGAGCCGCCGCCGCGGAGCCGCCGCCGGGGAGGAGCAGCCGCTGCCGCCCAGGACTGGGCCCTTAGGTAAGCCAGGGGGAGGGAAAGGCCAGAGACCACTACGGCGGGTCGCGCGGGGCGGAAAGAGGAGGGCCTCTCGGGGGGTGGCAAGGAAGGGGGCCGCTCTGCCCCAGTGGCGGCGCTAACTCTGTGGTCTTGGTGTCTCCGGGCCCCGCCGGGCCGCTCTAGGGAGGAGGAGGCGAGAAGATGGCGGACGACCCCAGTGCTGCGGACAGGAACGTGGAGATCTGGAAGATCAAGAAGCTGATTAAGAGCTTGGAGGCGGCCCGCGGGTGAGCGCTGCGTCCAGCCCCCCCGTGCCCTCTTGGTACCGGGACCCCTCAGGATGGCCGCCCCCGCGCCGCATGGCCGGATGAGAAGAACCAGGCACTAGCCAACTCCCGCCTTCTGGACCTTTGGGTAGTTGTCCCTGACCCAAGGGCTAGGGTCTACATGATTGACCCAAGAAGGGGTCCTTCCCCCGCCTGGGGTAAGAGGCCCCGTCCCGGGGCTCGGACCACTCGACCCCCTCGTGGCAGGCCACTGCTACTTTTGTACCCCTCCTAGGTCCTTGAGTCCAGCTCCTCTCTCTCAGAGCTCCAGGTGCTGCCACCGTGTTCGGGTGCTGTTGGGAGAAAGGACTCGGCCTCCTTTCCGAACGTCCTTTCCTGATTTCCTCCCTTCTTCTTTCACGTTCCTCAGCCAGGGCTCATTAAAATGGCCTCTTCCTCCTGGGCTTCTGGGACCCGGTTGGGTGAAGTTTGCGTGGGGCAGGAAGGCGAGGTGGTCAGGGACAACCTCTTCCTGACATCCCCCGATTTCTCTGGGTCTTGCGACTCTCCCAAGATGACTTCTCTAAATCCTCTAATTACTCCGGAGCTTCCTTGTTTTAGTTATTCCAGGACCCACCTATAAACTGAAAATGCCAACGTGTGAGGGGTGAGGGAGTAGGGGAGGATTTGGTTGACGAATCTATATCGGTATATCCAAGAAAAATCCGGATTATGGGGCTGCTGATAGGAATACAACAGGGTCCCTTTTGGCCCCTCTGGACCCTCTGAGGCTAGAAGTACCTGATGCTTGCTGAAATTCAGAATTAAAGTAGGTGGGCTTGAATCTCCTTTTGTAAATTTTTATTAAAAACTGTTAGGTGTGTCCACTGTGGGAAGGGTAAACTAGTGTAAAACTGGCTTTATATGCTGTTTTTACTTTATTTTACTTTTTTTAATTAATCGTTTGGGAAAGGTATGTCAGAAGTATTTGTTTTCTTAATTATTTTGTTCCTTTCCCAGTCGTGGAAACTTTTTACTAATAGGAAGTGGCCAAAAAAAAAAAAACTGTTGGGGACATTTGTGGGTCTGAGCATTCTTAGAATAGCTGAGTGACTGTCCTGAGCCATTGTGAAAGTTTTCAGCTGAGGAATTGAACGTTTTGGTTTCAGGCCCAGGTTTGTCCTTGATTGATAGATTCACAGTAAGATTAATTAAGCTCTTAATTGTTATACCTTATGAAATAAGGTGTACTTAGTTCCGCAGAAGGCCCAAAGTTAAGACTGGTTTTGCCATAGTACTTTGTTCTTAATGAATTAGTGACAGTCCGGCTTGAGATGAAGCTTCTGAAAGTTTGGCCCTATTTGGTGACTTGGGCTTTGGCTCACTCTGATATGAACTGAAGTAGCAGATTATTTTTTATTCTTTAGGTTTGTTTTTATTTGAATTTAATAGAATATTCAGACTTAGTTAATAATTTTACAGGAATTTGTACACAAATAGTTCTGTGCCACATGGTGAAATGAATATTCATTCCCCAAGTGTGAGAATACTGAACAGTAGGGGTAATATAGGTCATGACCCATAACAACGCACTACCAGGAATTAGCCAAGTTCTTTGTTTCACTAGGATCTTCTGTTGTGTTGACTCACTCGGTTGAGTATGGCATTTTTTATAAATTGCTCTTGTAGTGTTGTTTAAAGTTGGTTGTGACTTATACATTTGTTCTCATTTAATTTGGAAGCACGTTCATACTTTAGAATTGACAGACACTATGTTCTTCAGAAGCGTAGACTATGAATTCACAGCTATAATTTGTTGTCTCAGTGAAATGACATTGAAGAAATAACACTGCTTGTAAGTAACAACATTTCTTTCTACTGCTTTAGGAACCTCATTCTTATTTGTTCCTAGCCACTTCTAACTTTTAAGTGCCCTTTTAAAGCTTTTAAAAGGCTTTTTTCCCTCAATTAGCAGCGTTCACTAAAGATTAAGTTCTTATGTACAAGTTTTCTTTCAAGTGATGGAGTTAGTTTGGATGTTTTAGGATTAAGCTGTTCAAAATAACTGGGGAGTAGTTTTCCTCTAAACAAGGTGGTTGATAATCTTGTCCTACTTTGCCTACTTAGCTTTTATTCAGGTTTTGGTTGCACCTTGAGCCCATGAAAATTTAAAATCTTGGCCATCTCTAGGTATCAGTAAGGGAGTAACAAGTTTGTTCTGTTTGCTTCAGAAGTTTCCCAGTACATACCGATTTCTTTTCAGGAATAATAAGATTGTGTTTTCATGGCTGAGTTGTGTTACAGTCAGACTCAGATTATCGTAGTGTACAGTGAGAGTGTTTTTTTCTTCTTTACCCAGTGCTAAAATATTTTAAGGAGAAATGTAATGGACTTCAGAGACAAACTGGATGGCAAAAATGAATCTGTATTGGGGGTAGTCTGGGTCTCAGGACAAAACTGAGGTGGTATTTAAGTGTGGTTATTAGCACTAGACAGTGCAACTTAGGGATAGATTAATAGAATTGTGAGTTGAAAGGGGTGTTACATGTTTTAACTTGAATTTAAGTTAAGTGGGACATCCCTATTTAGTTTTTAGAAAAGTCTGTTTGAATGTTTCGGTTTGTGTGTGAGTAAAATAACCAGTTCTTTTGCTACATAAGTCCCACTTAAAGTTAGTGGGAATTTCTTCCTGATTTATGATTTCTCCTGGTATATTCTCCATGGTTGGTTTAATGAGGATAAATGTGTACATTAGCCAAAACTGGAACAAAGGCCATGTGAGTAGAATGGTGGTTGCAGGTATTCTTAATAAGAAACTAAAGCAGGTGAATGGTAGGTGGGAAATTTGGGTGGTGGTTTTTTTCCTAATGTTTCCTGAACCAGCAAGAAGTAATCCCAGAAATAGTGTTGGACACTTTATGATTTTCAGGTAGTAAAACCATAACCAGAGTCTGTTGTAACCAAAGCAGTGGTGAATGTGACAGAGGAACATACAAGGTTAATTTAGGCTAAGTTGTGTCTGTGGGTGTTAAAAAATACTAACTTCTCTTTGGCAAGGAACCTTGTATATTTCAGATATAATGAGGACTGGGTCAGTTAACCCATGTGTGAAGATCATTGAAGTTTGTAAACCTCATTTGGTTGTCGTCTTTTGTCTTTTGGTATTTTTAAGGCTTACTGTTTAGTTAAAATAACTTGTAGCCCTGGCTGTGTAGCCCAGTTGGTTAGGGTGACATCCTGATATGCTAAGGTTTCAGGTTTGATCCCAGTCAGGGCACTTGCAGGAATCAACCAATGCATGATGGATGGGGGCACAGCTATCACTCTTTCCTCTCTTTCTCCCCTCCTTCTAGCCCCTCCCTCCTTCTCTTTCATGTCAGTTAAATAAAAATAACTTGTAGATACCTTGACTTTGAAAGAAGTAGAAATTACTTGCCTGTACTTGACTGTCTTTCTTGCCTCCAAATGTAACACTGGGCGGGAGGAAACTACTCTCTCAAGAATTCTGATAACCAGGTATGTAGGGGTTTTCCCCATACCAAGCTATTCTCCAGTTCTTAGCCGGCACCAGCTGAGTGTCCTACAATTTAGTTCATTTCTCATACTACCTGAATTAACATCATATCCCACAAGGTAAAGGGCTCAATACCACAAGACTGCCCTATTTCTGACCGACATGCTATAAATTTGGGGTTCAGTAATTTGCCAGAATTGCCCACAGAACTAGGGAAACACTTTAGTTGTATTTATTGGTTTTTTACAGAGGATACTATAAAAGATAGAGATGAACAGCCAGATGAAGAGATACATAGGACAAGGTCTGGACGGGTCTGACTGTGGGCATTTCTACGCCTTTGGAACTGGGGTATATCACCTAGATTACCAACCTAAAGGATCAATATACCTTGTTCAGGAATTTTATAGAGCTTAATCTGTAGCACACCACTTCCCTTTCCCCTTCCCTGCAGTCCGTGGACAGAGCTAATATTTCCGATCATGGATGCACTTTTTTTTTTCTGGTGACCAACCCCATCCCGAGGCTTAGACCCCGCACTCTAAGTCACTTAATTAGCAAAAACCTAGATGTGCTCTAAAGGGACTCCTAATGATTAACAAAAGCACTCCCACAGGGAATTCTAAGGATTTCAGGAGCTTTATTGAAAGCCTGGGACAGACCAAATTTACTTATTATACCATGTAATATTTTTTTAATCGCCACAAAATTCCTTACATTGCGTTGAAATAAAAGTTAGTAATTTTGAGAGGTACTTGACTAGGTTTTGTAAAAGTTTTATAGACAAAATGTACAAATTGTTAATATAATTTGAATAAATTAAAAAATACTAAGTGTGTTTGAGTACCTTCCCCAAGTGAAAATTGTTGATTAACAGAACATTCACTTAAATGACACTTGGAATGTTCTCAAGGCCATGATTTTAAGAGGTAGTAAAGGGAAGAGGGGCAGAAAGGAGTATACTTGATAGGCTGTGGTGGTGTTCCTCAGGCCACTTCAAGTGTCTCAGGCTGCCTTCCTTAACTCTGAACTTGTCCTAACAGCCCTTGTATTCTGGCATGGTGTTCTATGCACTGTGAACCTAATGAACAATTACTCTCTTTGAATTTCAACTCCTGACAGACTTCTCATTGTAATAGCAGATATACTTACCCTTCCAGGAAAGGAAGGCCTACTCTGGACACACTCCTAGGTAAGCAAGAGTACCTAATTAGAATACCATTTAAGGCCTGCTGCAGTCTGGGTTATAGGTGGCCATCCCCCACCCCACCTTTCACACACAGCCACATCAGCTGGACCCTTTTTTGTAGAATGCCCTTTTTCTCTGAGATTGGGGTTGAGTGTGTGCTCAGTGTGGCCCCTGGTACTGGGAAGGTGTTCAGATTTGAGATAATTTAAAATGTCAATTTTGCAGCAGGTCTAAATTGTCCTTAATCCCATTGAAGAGTCAGAAGGAGAAATTTACGTCTTTTCCTAGATATGCTGCTAGAACTGTTCAACTGAGAAT